TCAGAGCTTCTCTGGTCTGAAGTGTGGTGACAGAGCTTCTTTCACTTCCTGAAAGTAAAGACAACATCATCTCTCAAGCGGACCTTGTTGGAGAAAATATAGAAAACATAGACACAGGACTAATAGAACCCACTGATAAACTAGCTTTTCTCTCCAATGTCATTTATGACTCTGATGTTTGCTCACAGCGTTCCAGCTGTTCTGAAACAGTCCAGGCTCTTCTGTCTTCGGGCCTTTCATGTCCTTGTGAGCTATAGGCCTGGCTTTCTCTTAGGCTAAATCGGGCATCAGCCCACATGTCACCTCCTCAGAGGCTTTCCCCAATCACTCAGTCTAAAGGGACTGTCTTTCAGCCTAGACACTCTCTATCATAGCACCCTGTTTTATTTTTTTAAATTGTATTTATAATTACTGAAATTGAGCTGAATGTTCTTCATTTCCTAGAGAGTAAGATATCCATGATTTTTGCCTGGTTTTCAAAGTTCCATTTCTCTCTTTGGCTCACCTCTGATTTTCTGCATGCTTTCGTTTGCCTTTCAGGCCACTCTCCTCACTCCTATTGTATGTTTGATCTACCTGCATGGCATACTTACTCCTTTCAAATCACACTGTATATCTTTCAAGGCCCAACTTGTGGTTCATGTCTAAAAAAACCTTGATGTCTGCTACCTGCAGCAAGAGCTATGCAGTACCTCAAGCTGCCCAGTGACCTTTTACAGTGGGCGAAGTCTAAGGTCTCTAACTAGATTGCACCTGCCTGAGGTCAGACTTCTGTAGTGATGAGTGCCTAGAACATGGATGCAAATCGCTCCTTAATTGACACGCTGATCCAGCTGTGACCTGGCTGGGGCAGGGAGGGAAGGGGTTGAAGTTTAGAAAATAATATGTGAGAACCAGGTCAATATTTCAGCTCAGTGGTTCTCAGCCCTGGCTAAACATTAGGACACTTTAAAATACAGGCTCGGGTCCCACTACTTACCAATTGAATCAGAATCTATGGAAGTAGGGCAGGGGCGTTAGTGCTATTTCAAAGTTCCTTAGGTGATTTTGAGGCCCAATGAGGGTTGAGAACCACTACAAAGATGAAAGAAACAAGCCCCATAATGAAAACAAGGCCATAACGAAACACTGCAGCTCTTACTAGTTGAGGAGCAACCAAAACCCTGGAAACTGGGAATATTAAAAACAACTTTTCTACACTTTAGTCTCCCTACCCCTGTCCCACTTTCTATCTCACTTTCCCACACCCTAAAATCTAAGCAGTGTCTCTGGGTAGTAAATGACACATCTAGCATGTTGATGATTAACTAACATATTCTGTATATATTATTTAACATAATCACATTTTGCTCTGCTCCAAGTATAATAGATATCACAGCTAGAAAAATCCTTGGTATTATTTAAACAATATAGAAATATCTGAGCTGCTTGCACCATTACAGATTTCTCCAAAAGCAAAGTTTCCCCCCCCCCACCCCACTTTTCAGTTTTGTTTCCCTCAACGTGTAATGGGTCTTCCCTGATTGTGTAGAACCCCTGAAGCTCAGAGGACTGGATAAGTTGCACATTAATCATCTCATTTAAAATGCTCCATAACAATTTCTG